TTAGTTGGGTGTAGTGCTTGATTTCACGGAGTCAAGTCAACAATCCGTTTGACTCCGTGTTTCCTTGTTTATTATGGTGTCTCTTCGAGGTATTCAGACGACGTAAGTTACATGTATTCTATCGATCTTTGGATTTCCGAAATTTCTAGAATGTCATATACACGCAGCCATGCCCCCCCCCCTCAAAAATTCTATTCCCTGACTAGCACTTGCTTTTTCGAGACAGGGTCAAGCGTGTTGTGAGCAATACTCAAAGGTGGAGGGGAGGGGGGGGGGCAGAGGATTCCCTATAACAGTGTTATTCCGCGCACATAAAATTTTTGTGGTTCAAAGGGATCCGTATAATAACTTTGAGCTACCTCAGTGTTTTATTACAACGGGGGCGAAGATTCCGAAATTCGCACGTTTTCCAACGGATCCTTGACTTTTTCTACTTGTTGAACGACTTTTGAGGTGAGGGCTGGAGTAGCGGTTTTTATGAAATGTTTTGGGGAGAATTAACAACCTTTTCATAGTTCGGCTTTGAAGAGGGTCGTTTCATGGACTTCGGCCTCGGCAGGGGGGAGGGGGGGGGGGCGTATTTCCGAATTTTCCTCGACGCCTCGCTTGACCCTGTTTGACCCAGACATTTTATCTTAAAGGAAGTGGTCACGATAATTTTCATGGGAACGATAAGGAAAGCTATGTATTGGAGTGGATAGAGGTCCTGCCCAATGTTAGAACACGTGAAGTTTCAGTGGCAGTGGCGCCTTATCAACGGAGTGATAAGCAGGGTGAAAATCGTGTCGAGGACGTGGTCAGATCAGTACGACCCCCCCCCTCAGATCGGGGTCTTGATACGACCCCTCTAACTTTGATTTGATGTGAATAAGCGAGTTCCATCAATGTACAGCAAAGCATTCAGTTGCAGCGCGGTTTATCCGTGGGTCAGATTTGCCGAAACCCCGCTCGAAACCGTCGAAATCTACACTCTCGATGAAAAGGTTCCATTCCCCCATTTCATAACCTTTGGAGCAGTATGTGGTAGGGTTAGATAGAGCTGGATTTGCTACTACCGGGCAATATTGAAATTGATCTGAAAGCTTTACACTCGAAGAGATAGGGTCTCTCAAATTTTGTCGAGGGAGCGTCGAGGATGCTGAATTTTTCATGCGAGTTTTTGCCACTTAAAAGGCAATATCTCTCTAATTTCGCAAGATCTTGGAAAACGAAGACAGTTTTGGAAAGCGGAAGGTTTGCGCTTTCTAACAGTATGTTTAGCTTCCTTCTACATTCTCTAGTTGAGGATATTTGCGTCGAGGATCTATCGAGGATGATTCTCGGCCGCTCAAAAAGCCGCTCCCTTCTTCACCATTGCAAGTGTAATTCGTTGGCAACGCTCGAAATGTGTCTAGAATAATTCTCCCAACATAAGCGACAAGAAAAGGGCAATCGTCATCGTCCGATCTTCGTCTCAGTATAGGCCATGCATCCGACCTCCACTCAAGTTGTAGAATCTATTGAAAGGTGTTACACATATGATGATGACCTGTTGACAGAAACTGTATTGTAGTAAACACATTTCGTAACTCCTGTAACCTAAGGAACAGCTTCATTCGCCCATGGTCTTTCCAGAACTCTTGCCGGTTTGCGACAGCTCCCTAACAACTGCCTCATTTTCAACGAGGTATTAAGGGCGAGAGAGCGGGCCTAGATAAAGGAGGTGCCTCTACAGCACGTGTACACATTGCGGAGATGCACTTTCATTCCTTGTACTGCTTTCAAATACGTCCTTCTCATAAAGGTAAAGGAATGGAGCGACTGGACCTGCAAAGAATATTTTATCTCATGTTTTCTCACATATCCTTGTTTTCTGCTGCGCTACACCCTCTCTCTCCTATCTGACGTTACTGACCCCAATGAGTACGACCCCCATGACCCACCCTGACAAATACGACCCCTCCTGTCGAGGATTTCCTCGACCGATATTCACCCTGGTTAAGGCGCCGGAATACTTCCGTTCAGCAAAACCAAGACTTATCGATGTGGAAAGGGGTGCGATAAGAGCGTGCTAGATATGATACCGTTATCGTTATCGTCCCGTTTTCATTCTGGAGTGCACCTCTTATCAAGCAGCCGCACCTTCTTATCTCATCGTATCATATCTTCCATGGGCTTACACTCGTCCAACAATTACTGCCTCACACCTTATCGATTGATAACGCGAGGGTAGCAAATCCAGCGTGGAAGCCAGCGTGACCGCTTCCTTTAAAGGAGACATAACGATAGAGAGCACGAGTGGTGATTGGATACCGTAGAGAAATTGAGTGAGCCATCAGGACTCCTAATCAGGAGCGCCTTGAAAGTGCATGACAAGGAATAACTGTCTTCCGCTGACCGCGCTGCAAACGCTGCCGCGCTCTATCCAATACTGGCATGCGTGGCCCTCTCGCGCCCTCTAGTTTTCCCCACTCTCCTCCAGCGCTATGCTTCCCTCGCCACCTATCAACAGAAATTTCCAGTGACTTTTCTATGAGTGCCTTTCCCACTCATACGTTCTTTTCGTGCTTGTTGTGCCACATTTTAAAAACAAATAACTAGGCCGGCAAAAAAACGTAATTCGATCCAGCGAACGCGAGTCCCCGCTTTCCAAAAGGAAGGAACGCAACAGCCAAACATTGGATTTTCGCGTGGACGCCAGGAAATCAACGGCAACTGTATGACGTAATTCCCTACAAGCTGAACTTCAACTCAGTTCGCCTCTACTTTTGCTTCTTCCATTGACGACCACTGACAATCAACAGCTTCTTCCGAGAGGGTATCCTGTAAAGAGTTAGGCCGATGTCAGACTTTGCGAATCGCGCGATTCGCTAGCGTCCGCGGTCGCGTTGCGGTACCAGCCAATTGAGTGATTCACTGGCCGCGACGCGACCGCAGACGCTAGCGAATCGCGCGATTCGCAAAGTCTACGACTCGGGCTCCCAGACAATACCTAACCATTTGGGCGCGGCCGCGGCGAACGCGGCCGAGTCGATTGTGCCCGCGAACCGTTGAAAACGCACTCGAGGTGCCCGCGAACTGTGCTGTGCTGAGTTCGCGGGCACCTATCAACTCGGCCGCGTTCGCCGCGGCCGCGCCCAAATGGTTAGGTATTGTCTGGGAGCCCTTCACAAACTCGCACATGCACAGACCAAGTTGCGCCTCACTCTTGATAAAAACTGACAGCGCACATCATACGCGTAGTTTTGTATCGTGCAGCCAGCTTGAAAAGTCGTAGTTCAGAGAGGCGGCACCACTGCGGATTCTTGGAAGACTTATAAATTGGTGATTCATTTTGAGGAAAAATATTTCGCATGACGTATAACGGACTTTCCTGCCATTATGGAAATACTTGCGAAAAGTCGCGTTTATACTCAACGTTTTGGGGGTTTAGGCGATCAAAATTGGTGAAAGATGTGTATTGATTTCCCAACTGTGCTCTTTGGCGCTATGCACTATTACAACCCCAGAAGGGGTGAAATGGGTCAATTTTTTGCTGAATCGTTCGTCTCCCGTGGAGCTCATCGAGGGTCCTGATCACTATGAAACCCATGTTCGGCACTGGCGCAAATTGGCGTCAGTGCCAAAGGTGGACTTCATATTCGTGATCAGCGGAGCCCTCGAACGAAGTACCACCCCATCAAAAGCTTCAGCGGAAAAAACTTTTGACCCACCACACCCCTACTGGGGTTTTAGTAATGCTCCTGACCTTCCGAAACTTGAAGTATGAACGCGACCAAAATTTCACGGAAAAATCTTGAACGTACACATCCAAGAAAAGATCGATGATCAGCTCATCCTGTTCGCTAGTGGCGCCTTTGAGCTTTGTCCATACTTCTTCATTTCGGATTCATCTCTCCCACTGCGATCCGCCCACTTGGTGCGCTGCTCAAGTCGACATCATCCGATCCAACAGTCGTTATCATCCTCCCCATAGCACCATCACCGCTCACCGTATTCCTCATCTTCAAGCAATGTCGAATACCAGTGGTCCGTCACTCGTACTCGAAGGTCCGTAGTTCCGATATCATCTGTCCGTTAGTCTTCGTTCATACCTTCCATAGTCGACATCGGCCCTCTCTCACTGTCAGAACTCGGTTCCTCCGACGAGGTATCGTCCGAACTGCTGCTCTGCTTCATAGAAGGTCAGTTGGTCCTCCAGAATGGCAGCCTGCAACTGCCTTCTCAAGCTTTCTTTTTTTGCGCCTATCTGGCATTCCTGAGTGATGATGACGGGTGTGGACTGAAATCACGAAGAAGCTGATGGAAACAAAACCGTATATGGAATAAGGTACAACACAATGAGAAGAGAGTGCGCTAGGAAGCCTCGTGAGAAATTCGGGGGTAACTACATAGTTGGGGGGACCACGCAGCTGCGCGGCGTTCTGTTCGTCTGCACCTCTAAAGCCTAGCATAGGAACCGTAACTATTTCACCACACAATATATAACCTTGCACCTTAACCCTAACCATAAGTCTCAGAGCTGCTTGCAGGTCTTAGAGGAACAGAGCGCCGCGCCGCCGCGTGGTCTCCCCACACCTAAAAAAGTCAGCAGCCATGAAATTTCGGTGAAAACATTAACATCAGCACGAACACTAGGAAAACACAGCAGAATGCCTTACACGGATCACATGGTCAAACATGGAGACCGTTCAAAACACCACACAAAAACCCCCGCCATTATCGGTGGGTCCTGGGGCGCGTTCTTTCCCTTGTCTTACGTCTCAGCGAGCATTGCGAAATCCCCTGTCCAACCTCTGCCCTTTACTTGATACGCGGCAACGCGAAAGTCCTTCTAGAAAGTTGGCGCGTCTTGGGGTCGCATCCGTACAATTGTGCTGTAACACGGGTGACTGGAACTGTTTGTACTAAATGTTGCTTGCACCCGTCGTGAGAATCCAATGGCATTCATCCCCTCCCCCCCCAATCATGATACGTACGCGAAACTCGTAAGGGCGCTTACGTAAATTGGTCGTTCAATCCGTAACAATCCCACAGCATTACGTTGGTGTGCGAAATTCTGATTGTACGATTGATGCATATCTAAAGCTGTGCGGTCGTTACAATCGGGCGATCTACTATGAAAGCGACCCTGAGTGAACCATGAGGGGGCTGATGATGGTAGGCGGTGAGGGGAACTTTTTAATATTTGGACCAAAAGAAAGAGAAGGAGAAAAATAAATAGAACTCACCCACTGCGGGTGCGCCATGCGCGTCACGTTGTCCCTCCGATGAGATCAATTTCGTGAGCATGCGTGAACCCTGAAATATCACGTGCCATAAATTACAGGTGTTGGCGGTGTTTTACTAGGCTATTAATTCTAGTGAGAAAAATTGTGAGATAACTTGAGTATGACGGTCCTACTAAAAGAAGGCCATTGAACTTACTGGACAGGGATTTATCTCTAAAACCAGCCAGTTTGAGTCACCGGTACCACACCGGAATTCTACCCATTCTGTTTAATGATTAAAAACGTAGAATTTGCCCCCACGTTGGCGATGCCGGTGCCGTAATAGGAACTCCTGCTGAAAAATCGTGAATCTACTCACCCATAATCCCACATAGGGTGACAATTAAGTTCTGGCGCGGGGGCACCCAAAACGAAGTGGACGGAGGAGGAGCACCCATACCATAATATAATCAACAGAGAATTTGCGGCAAAGTACACTCAACTTTGTCATATCTTTTCACATTGAGACCCGTGCCTACCACCAGCCAGTCACACCCACTGTTACCCGTGTCTCATTATCTAACTATCGGGGAAGTGGCTGCGTACCTTGCTGACTCTTCATTTTCACCCAACCCTCTTGACCATCTGCCGGGTGCAGGCCCACGCTCGAGAAATGGCTTTTCAGGTAACCTAATTTTGTACGGATGGTATTCCTGATCTATCACTCGCATGAGATTACATGATCTGTTTCGATTAGATGATGACCGCCCCATATCGCCACTCCACTTCGATTAGATATTGCTTTTTTGTCAGATATAATGGGCAGCCCTCTAATAATTTCCACCATTCACTGCCTTGGAAACCATCGTTCTAAGAACGAAAGAACAAAAATTGCATTTGTTTCGATAAAAATTCGAAAAAGCGAAAGGGCTGCTACGCGTTCGAAGTACCGCCGCCGACATCTCACACAAATGCTGGTGACGGGAATGCTTCCACTTGGTTCCTCGGAGTGCTGCCACTAGAAACTCCTTCCGATCTCTTGACCACACCCCCTGAAAAAAACAGGAACCAACGGAGGTCCTGGGAACAATATCCGGTAGTTGTCGAAAATCTGCAAAAAGTTGATATGAGGGAAGCTATGAACGTTGACTGATGAAAACTCGCGCGTGTGCACAAAAAGCGGACCAACGGGGCGATTTCAAGAAGTGAACATCGCCATCAGTTAGAAACCTTTGGAAAGAGAAACAGTGAAATCTTCATCTTAAAGATTCGCCTTTAGAGAAAGAATAGACCTTTCAAATGAACGAAGGAATATATCGTAGGCATACATCTGTTAAGGTACACCGTTTTTCAGTTTATAAAAAAAGAGATTATGTGAGTTCGAAAACAAACATGTTCGGTTTCTAAAAAGTTAGAAAATCTCTCCCGATTACCTAAGCACCTTTCCTTAGGTTAAAGGCATGCCCCAGGATCACATTGGTGTGGCTCTTGTACACGAATGCGAATGTATTGGTGGGAAGTGGGCCGGCAGTGAAGAAAAAAGGAAAAGAATCCGTCAAAACGCTTAGGTTAAGGGCTCACTCACCTTCCTAATCGGCTGTGCTAAGGGAATGAGAGACTAAGCGCGGAGAGGAGAGTATGGGGAGAGAGCGCTACAGATGAGAGATCGCCAGACAACAGCCTGATAAGAGAAAAAAGTCTGCAGCTTGGGCAGCTTACTTTTGCAAGGCCAAGCGCTCTTATCGGTCGGTTTCCGTGCACGAGAACGCCACATTTGTGATTGTCCTCTAGGGGTCTATACTACAGACCGAAGAGAAGCGTTCACACGACCTCTGCCTGGGTTGTGCCTTTAATGGAAAAATTTGAAGATTATTTTATTTAATGAGTGAAATTCCATAGTGCCTCGATCCTCTGAACGAGACAAAGCGCGCAGACTACCGCGGTGCGCGAGCACCTCTCCACCGTCGTGACACCCACATACGCTATGATGGGTCGAAACTTGTAAAAACTCAAACAATAGCTGAACAAGGGTTGCACTGGCACCCCCCCCCCTAAGGGAGGCTCGTAAACTTTTGGAAAGCGGTGCGCAAAGGCGCGTGACTCTGACTAGCCTCTTCTGACACACTGTTGAAAGCGATCTGCATAGTTATAGCTGTTACCTAATCTTCCCTGAAAATATACATTCATCAGCTAATCGCTGGCAGATTCAGAAGGCAGCGGTTATGTAGCCTCCTCTGAGCTCGAACGTGAATGAACCAGATGACGTCATATTCTTATGCTTGCTTTGCTCATGAGGGGACATCTGAGGAATATTTCGCCGTAAAACATCCATGACAGCGGTACCCTTTGCGACAAAAAGTTTGATGATAGCGGCCAGGACAAGGTGTTTGCCCCGCCCCCCTCCTCTGTTACGAATCAAACAAACAGTAATAGCGAAAATGAATTTTTCGCTTTACGAATAGTATGTAACAAACAATAGTTTTGTAGAATTCCTATTCCTGAGACGCGCCAATGGTGTTTTAATATAATATTAGGTACCGGATATCTTAGTGTCGTTTTTTCACCACGAGTTTCGGACCACCAATATTTTAATTCAGAATCCGGGGAGTGAAACAGCATATTCATCGAATGACTCATTAGCACTTTCCCATTTACCAGTATGAGTGGAAACCTCGTACGATTAAAGCTAGGAATTTTTTGAGTCGAAAAAGAGAGGTAGGTCGGTTTTGACATCATCTGACAAATCATCCCTCTCACTTGCTAAAAAGTTAGGCCTGGACAAAAGAAGTACACAGTTAGTTAGAGTAGGGTCTGCACTGTATGGTGGAAAAGTTATAACTTACCAGCTCAACTGGACAATTTTTCCCGGAGTCTTTTTTGCCACATGGGTCAAAAACGCACCCTTTTTGAGCACACGTGAGTAGCAGATGAGCACATTTATTAGAATTTCTTCTGCAATCAACTTCGTTAAAGCGTTTGTGCATCATCGATCAGTCACTGCTGAGTGTGTCCTACCATTTCAGCACAAGACTGGTGCAGCCCCGTCTCGACTGATTTAACTAGGGCCACCTTTTTGACGACGATTGCGGGCATCACTTCAAAGACTTCACTGTCTTTTGAGAAAACTGTGAAAAACCGATGAGCATTTTAAATGGTAGTATTCCCTCCAACAAATGCAATGTTCTGGCTTGGTGGGCGAAGTTGTGGCTCTCAGCAAGGAATTTTGAAGCATTTGGTACACATGCGAATTCGCACACTGGACCCAGGGATTTCAAAAAAAGTATAAAAATTGGGGGAAAGTTAAATTGTGAACCAACAATAGAAGACGGTAAGCAACATATTTCGCAATATTAATGAGCAAAAACTGCCTTCTGGGATATTGATTTTCCATAGTAATCGGCCCCAAAACTTCCTGAACTCAGAAAAGCGACACTAAGATATCCGGTACCTAATAACTTCATTGAGTACATTCATAGTGACCTACATCACACCCTGGAAACTGCCATCCGTCATAGTTGTTTTTTTTCGGACTTATCTAATACCAAGAAAGCTGTCGGGCAAGACCATCAAATAAATCAAAACATGGTAGTGGTTATTGTGTGAGTCAAAAGCACAACGAACACTTGTGTGGTCTGATATCTCGTCCACACCCCTCCCCCTCCCCTTTCTGCTCCTCTTCAGTATGCGCCATCCTGTTGTAATCCATTTTGACGAGATGTGTCGGGTTTTTGAAACAGTGAAGAGAAAATTCCCTAAGAAGTTGAAAAAAATTCTTGCTATGAGAAAATTTGAATCTGAGAAATTTTGAAGATTTTCGCATTTCTCACCATTTCAACAGTGCCTGTACTCTCCGCTAACCCACTGACATGACTCTTGGACATCTGGATGGGATTCGGTGTCAGGCTGAACCATGTTGTAATAACTTCGACACAACGCAGCGTCGCCGGAAGCGATTCCCATAGGATTTTCATCCACATTACGCCTAATCCTTCGACTGAATCGTTGCCCTAGAGGGCACGCACAATTCCTTAGATAGGAAGCATTTGTGGCAGAGCGTCACGCCAAACTCATGAAATGTGCAGGAGCTGCGAGAACGATATCACGCGAAACATTAGGCCAACTGATTAAAATGCTCCAGGCTAATCACTTTGGAAGAGCACATCAAAAAGAAACAAACTACAACTAAGATGCCGGAAATTCCCAACAGGGAGTTCTTCAGGGCAAGCCACGTTTTTTCACAACACAACGGTTTCTCCGCCATATCTGAGGAAATGCCTGTAGGGATCATAAAAACTCATGCCCGTTTAATGTGAAGTTCAGCAGTACCAAAAAAAAACCATAACGGATCTGTTAATGGTTCGATCCTCCGCGGCCACTAAATTTTGCATTTGGGTTGGCACCTTCCAAACAAGGGTGCAAATCGCCTAAGGCCGATGTCAGACTTTGCGAATCGCGCGATTCGCTAGCGTCTGCGGTCGCGTCGCGGCCAGTGAATCACTCAATTGGCTGGTACCGCAACGCGACCGCGGACGCTAGCGAATCGCGCGATTCGCAAAGTCTGACATCGGCCTAAAGTCACAAATCAGGTGTCATATTCATCGTCAGGACCATTTTGAAGCCAAAAATGGCCGCTAACCTTGATTGCAAAATTTAGTCGCCGCGGATATATCGAAAAATCGAGGGTATCTTTCACCACTTTTTTTACTTGAAAGGAAGGAAAATGGAGGTAAACCAATTATCAATGGACATCATAAAAAGGGTTTACAGGATTGGGCAACTGCACTGACCATGCCATCGAGGTGGTTAAGCCACATTTTATTTAAGCTCGCAGCCATGAACGTATAAATTCTCCGGGATGTAGTACTATAGCCTCTCCATTTCTCAATAATCAGGGAAAGCCAACCTTTTTTTCCTAGGTTGGACACAGCAGGATTTGACATTCGACCCAGGATTGATAATGATAGTGCTCAAATAGTCCAAACGTCAAATACATTTTATCAGATACATCCAAATGATCATCAGAGAAGTTTATCGCTACCTCCTTTTCAGCATAAAATAGAAAAATAAAATCACAGCAGAAAATCGATACAGGATTCTATAACAAACAAACAAGGCTGAGTATGCATGGAGGTACCCGAACAGATGCTGACGGTTTTCGACATGAGAAGAGGGATCAAAAGCTTACATAAGGAATTTTGGTCAATCAAGATAGTTGTTGATATAAATTCAGAAATGCATGGGCCTGACATGGCTACGCTGGAATTTCAGCTCATTGGAATAACACAAACAACGACAACAAGTAAAAATTCAAACTTTCAGAAATATCCATTCTTTCACAGAACTGGTACCTAATCGTGAGCTTAGCGGTTAGTAAGAGATAACCATTTTCGTTTACAGAATACCGAACAGCCTATTGGTTATTTCAAATAAATATTATGAGCTCTTCCTGTCCTTCACCGGATCGCTACCGTAGCCGCCATCGGACTGACTTGAGCCGCTCAACGGTCGTCGTGTTTCACGGCTGGAAAAATCTACTTCAATCTGAATCTAGGCAGAATTTCGGATCAAAACTAACCTGAAATTAGTTCGAGCTTTCTTAATACTTCGAATAAGCTGATGTTTCAAAGTCAATTGACAGCATGCAATGTGGTAGACGGCATCTGCAAGAGGAATAGGGATCATTCCCAGAATCTTGGGTAGGTTCCCACAACAAGACCATTTGCCAGCGGCATTTTCAAGACGTTAATGAGTTATTGTTTCTCTGAAGACTGATGGTAC